TAACTGTTTTCCCCTTCCTCCCTCTTTCCCACCAACACACTCCTCGTATATATATGCTATATATGAAAGAATCACCCCTCCCCATATATTTCGCGACATATTCGGGCTTATACCGTGGACGATCTATCAACTAAGATAATTATTATTTTTAATTCGCATGCACACGCCATACGCACTGCCAAAATATGTGATAATCGTAGATCATTCCACGTGCAGCTGTTCGACGTCCACCAAGTGTGTTTCAATATATTGTTTTTCAAAGTTAAATTTAATATAATAAATAATAATAATGACGGAACTTGACGTTCAACTGCGACTAGATGGGGATATTATGCAGCTCGTCGAGTTAATCGATACCACTAATTTCGTCATAGACTTTATCGGCCGCAAGTCTATCAGCATCGGGCTCGACCCGTCTATAGATTTCAACGTATCTATCCGCATAATCACACCGTTCGACATGGGCGTAGCATACCCTAATTAACAAGGGGTACTTAAGTCCTTGACTATTTTTTATTAAACTATGCTAAAATTGAATGTATTGAATTACAACATCAATAGTCATTACAGTTATATACTTGTATAAAAAGTTAAAATGTACATAGTCAATCAATAAATATGCAATGCATGTTTATTGAATTATGACTCTGAAGTGAGTACCTACATTAAAAAAAAAAAACAAAACAATTTTGAAAGTTTTATTTTATTATTACATTATATATTAATATTCTTAATATAAATAAACGTAGGATTAATACAATTTACCAAGCTTTCAAATAAAAAACATTTTATTTTAATGTACCTACTCTTATGATAAATGTAAGTCAATTCTACGTTTATTTGTACTGAATATATTTAAAATATCTTCAGTTTTTATTTCTGAAGTTAAGTCTCGTTAAATTTGTACTACAATTTGTACTACAATTTGTCCAATATACTATTTTTAATTTTACGTTATTTTAAAAGCATAGACTATTAGAATTAGATAAAAGAAAACTAACCTAACGTAGGGGGACTGAACCACTAATTGGGGGGACTATAGTCCAACTAGTCCCCCCCTCATCCTACGCCCATGCCGTTCGTATGTATAACAACCGACTTTACTCGTTGATTGGGCATATTCTATCGATTATAATTTATAACCGATCCGCCACGAGAAACTGTTACTCAGGGACGAAACGATTACACTGCGTCTAATGGGCTAAGCTTATTACTGCGGTCTTCATTCCATCGAGCTGCGTTATTTTTCCCTCGATATAGATATAAATTTCACTCGGTAGCGTATGTGCGTCCCGATTTTGAATTGCGATACGGATTTCGTCCCCATTATCCAGCGCACTCGTGGAAAATGGTAGGATAGAATGTAGGTACAAACATTTTCCGAATAGGCGATTCGTTTACATACGCACCACTCACGTCTAAGAACGATTTATCCATATAGTGTTTTTGTATAATATAAAGAAACAAATAAAAAATTGCTACTTGTTTGCGATCAAACGTAAAAAATTACGATAAAAAAAAATAAAAATAAAGGTATCGGTTCAAAATAATTTAGTTAGCCAAAAGTATAATATTTTTAAATACCATTCCGGAATGCGGGTTTAATTAATAGTATGAGAAATATTAGAAAACTCTTATGATCATACATTGTTTATAGGTACACAAAACAGTAATATAGTAATACAGTAATGATGGTAAATAAAATAATTTTATTTTGAACCTAAAAGAACCTATTTATTTTAAAAATGCTGGTCGGTTCCGATATTTTATTTATTAAAATATAGGTTTCGGTTCCGGTTCTGGTTCTTCATATTTTAAAGGTTCCGGTTCCTGAACCGGTTCTTTTAGGTTCATTTACAGTCTCTGCATGCAGGTTTGTAAAGCTTTCGGTTGTAACAACGCGTTTTGTGTACCGTTTACACAAAATTTAGTAATTATATGCTTTGTTCAATCGTAATTTTTCCTACCTTAAAATAAAGATTTCGATTCCGGTTCCTGTTATTAATATTTTAAAGTTTCCGGTTCCAGAACTGGTTCATTTGGGTTCGGTTAAAGTAACTTGTCAGCCTCTACACTTACGAGACCCACGAGCTGAAACTGGTAGGTATATATTATACACGATACTGTCATACTATCGAAATGCCGTAGTTTTCGTATCGTCGATAACAAATCGATATTATATCAACCTGAGGTTAGGACAGAATAATAAATTAGTAATCCTAACAATGTACACCATTATATATGTGTTTCGTTTGAATTGTAAGAACCAGTGTCAAACCCATGGTGGTGCCCCCTCCCATAGACAATTGCATAGTTTATTTTTATTTTTTGAAAACTCCCTAAAATTATAATCAAAACTTATTAATGTATCTCATATATTAAACAACTATAAGCAATTGTGTTTATTAAGCAATAAAATGTATGTATATATTCAGGAAAGGAACAGTAATTAAATACCTTTTTTTGGACCCCCCCCCCGCCCCCCACGTTGAATAAATCCTAGTCTTTCCACTGATAAGAACAGTTAAGTTTGAAACACCAGTAAGAATAGGTATTGACAGTTGAATGAACAATATAATATTTAGTATTTTCAAAATCTATAATAATTGAGACGTTTTATTTTTTCAATAATTCACCAAAAACGTATACTTACAAAATTCATCTAGATAATCGTATTATTAAAAACGAAAAGTATTTCTTGATCAAATAGTCACTATAAGTTAGGTACATACCCTACCTAACTTAACCACTAAATGTCTAAATCCGTCTAGATTTATCTCAAAAATCTTGTGTCGGCGCGCCATAAACTACGAAAATATCTGATCCGCAGACAACTGGAGCGTTACGTCGATTACGAGATTATATAATAATAATAATAATAATAATAATAATATAGTAATAATAATAGTAATAATAATCATACAAGTAGTAATAATAATAATAATAATAATATAGACATATAGTACCGCGTTATTTTATAGACACACAATATTAACACGGGAAAGTACGTAGCATAATATTCGTATTTTATCCGGTGGAACGAAACTGATAAACGCGTATAGTATAGGCACCTGGTAATATTATTAATATACACAACACTATATCACTCACTCGAACCTCAACCTAAATTATAAGCATAACCCTGCAGACGGAAATTTTTTGTTTAATAATATTATTATAACATTATAAAAATATTAGTATAACGTTATTATAATACTATAATAATATTATCATTACAAAATGCCGTCCGGAAAAATAGTAATGTATAATATAAGTATATATATATATAATATAGTCTTTACACGTTAACCCCCTCGACAAATAACCGATATACAATATTACAAAGGTAGACGTTTACGATGTATAGACATGATATATAATATATTATATTATAACATATTATGTATATGTTACGGGTGAAGTACAAAAACGGTTAGTGTACATATTACCCGGGTAATGTGAACCTCATCCATACGAACAGTGTAATGTATACATTATCCACCTTAAATATGTAGTATCCAATCAATTTATACATTATCCGGGGTGCTGTGGATAATGTATTCGTATAACTATAATCGTAAACTTATAACTTCGGTACAACATGACCAACGCATCAAACACTTAAAATGGTACAGATTATACAAAGTCTTTCTAGTAGCAAAAACCAAATTATACTAATTCAAAAAAAAAAATTATTTATTATTATTACTATTAAACTATAAATTATATATTTGAACAACTTTACTATTTACTTAATTAAAATTTAAAAGCAAAATACAATTATTTATTAGAACAATTCGAGTTTAGATGACATTTAGAATTACAAAGTATTCCCCTGGATTTGCATTTACATTTATTTGTTAAGCATTTAGTTTTACATAAACACTTCTTAAAATCTTGATCACCGGAAAAATATTGTTCATTAGCTATTTCGCTCAAAGATTTTTTTGTGGCTAAAACTTCTAAAATATCTATTAATGGTTCAGAGCATACAGTGAATTGATTTCTGGAATAAAGTTGATGAAGAGTGCCATTTTTATTACCGAGTTCGTAATATTGATTATCACTTATAGACACAACCGCAAAGAGTATATTCTGTGGATCACCCTTACTTCTGTCTACTTCTGGTAGTTTGACTCTAACTGTGTCGCCAACATTGCATGGTGGGAATTTGTTGATGGATCTGAACTTAATACCCGAGTAAAGTACGAAATAAACGTTTTATAAATAGTATTTTTACTTTATCCAATAGGTACAGGTAGTGTACACATTACCCGGATAATGTGAACACTAACCATATTTTGTACTTTACCCGTAACATATACACTATAATATACTATCTTGAAATCGAGCTGTACAACATATTATTATTGTGAATATTATTTTCTATATTATTATACGATATACCATACAAGTTCAAGTCCACGATTTCTAGCCCCATCGTCGCGATTAACAAAGCACCGAGAGGGCCCCGCACAACCCTTATTGTTTAATGATAATATCATTTTACTGTTATAATAGGTATTAGCAGTGGCGTGTTTACGGGGGGGGGGTCCCCGGGTCTGGACCCCCCCAGAAAAAAATATAATATAATATAATTATTACATCGTAACTCGTATGTGTTTTTTTTATATTTTAAACTTGTAGGTACCTAATATTTGGTCGGCAGAGTCCTACCCCCACCTCCACGCGGTGCCGACTGGAAACGGAATTCCGGTTCCGGCCAACGGGGGAGGCACAGAAGGCAAACTGTATAAAACCGAACACCGGCGGGTCAACACCAGCGACCAGAGAGGGCCAACATCGCCCTCCAACTACCGACATCACGGACCGAAGGCTCGATGCACAGACGACCGGGAAGGTTAGACGGGGACCCAGCGGTTAGAAAACTAAGCGGCTCAGTATCATCATCCGAAACTGCCCCACAGCGGCAGGCGTGCCCCGGGGCATTAGTAGGACGCCCACAGCACGATTCGTCACCGTCCGGGTGATCGCGATTGATGAGAAAGGCCGCTAGTCAGAACGCCTCAAGAATCCGCCGACCGGTCATCCAAGCACCGAGCAGCACGACGAATGAACGAACGGAGGAACCAGAAGGAAAACTGAACAAACCAAAACACCGGCAGGCAACAGACCAGAGAGGGCAAACATCGCCCCCACCCGACAACAACAGCCGAAGACGGACTCTGAAAGACGAGCGGAAAGCCGCTCCACACCGGCGCACCCGCACCCCCAACCACCTCATCCGAAACTGCCCCACAGCGGCAGGCGCGCCCGGGGGCATTAGTAGGACGCCCACAGCACGGTTGGTCACCGTCCGGGCGATCTCGATTGAGAGTGAGAGGGGCCGGGCCCAGCGTCAGGAGGCGCCGCAGACCGCAAGGCTCGCAGAAGGACGAGACAACAGGAAACGGGCAGAAGGAAAACTGGCAAACCATCACCGGAGGGACGCGAACTCCAGAACAACATAAGGAGAATTCACGAGGCACGAGACTCGAGGCCGGCTGGCTAACTAGCCGGGCCGGGAAGACCAAGAACGTGTCTTCGAGACTGGCGGGCAGCAAAGCCGGGTCGAGAAGACAAAAAACGCAACCAGCGGGCCTTCAGTCAACAACAATGTTATTTCTACTAAAATGTAAACTAGTTTAAATGTGCGCCCATTAAGGGACAAAAAAAGGTGTAAAATATTAATTATAAAATGTCACATTATTTTATAAATTAATAAACGATGGCGGCGTCGCGGAAGTAGTGCGAAAACAGTTCCCGCGACGCCGTCGGTTCAAAACTGGAAAAAAAAAAAAAAAAAAAAAAAAAAGGTACCTAATATTTAGACCCCCCCCCACAAAAAATTTCAAAATACGCCACTGGGTATTAGGAGTAAATCACGTATATGAATATATATCTATCCAGTGAGTTCCACTCTATAACTGTAGTACTCGGACGAGCTTATTCGACAACGAGGGCAATCAATACAGATTATACTCTTATAAGTTATAACATATATATATATATATACAGTCGAATTTGGTTTACTCGAAGTTGAAAGGACCGGAGTAAAAGTTCGAGTTATCCAAAAAAAAATTTTAAAACAGTACTGTATATTAATTCCTGTGTTTATTATAAATAAAATATGTAATGTGCAATAAAAATTAGTTACCTATGTATTTATATGTATGTATGTATGTATATGTAATTTTAAGAAGGTAGGTAATGTATGTATATATAAACAAAAATGAGGTTAAAAAATTATTTAAAAAGGTATTTATTTTTGTTTGAATGTTGCTGTTGAATGCAGCGTTCCAACTTATTTAAAATTGTTTCTTTATTTTTAAGATAAGTTGACATAGTGTTTGGTGGAATACCAAATTCTTTAGCTATCAAAGACTTTGTTTTAAATCCATTTTCAACTTCCCATATCACTGGCCCTTTTTCCTCGTATGTTAGCGTTTTTAGCATGCGTTTTGATGATGACATTACGAACGATCACGTTGAAACAAACACAGAGCACTGAACACGAAAGTCATGCGTCGTCGTCGTAAACCGTAAATAAACAACTTATCGGTAGGTAACGATAACATTAATGACTAATGAGTAATGATCTTTATAGATAAATGAGGGAAATTTTATACAAATACACATGTATTAATAAAACTCAAAACTTCGAGTTATCCACGAAAATATTCGAGTTAAACAAGATTTTTTTATATTGTTTAGGCTGGGGCTATACACGGCGAAATTCGTCGAGCGGATTTCGCGGCGAATTCCGCTGTCATCGAAAACCTATATGATTAAATCGGGCAGGCTATACGAGTTCGCCGCGAATTAATCCGCCGCGATATTCGCGGTCGGCCGACGATTTTTTTCAAAACCGCCCAATCCATCAAAACCGTCTATTTATATTAACTTTTAATGATAGCGGCTATACGGGTATTTTGGTTTAGCGAATTTCGCGGCGATTATTACTATACTACGGTATTTAAATACAATATTATTGTAAATTATATTATTGTAAAATCGTAAATATCGTAAACATAATAGGTAATATATTATTTCACCAGGTACGAAAAAAGTATATATATTTATATTTATTTATACATATAAGTACATATTATAGAAAATGTTAATTGAATTATTATAGTACCTATCGCGTGTCTTTCCGCCAACATCATGGCTAAAATTAAAAATTTTAAACATCGTAATGTAGTGATATAGGTGGTGATATACCTATTAATATTATTATAAGTTTTCATCGGGGTACGAGAATTGCATCTATTTTGTAAAACTGGATTATTACTGTTTCGGCTGTCTTTCCGTTAACATGTCCAAAAATAATATGACTATCGATTGTGAGAGATTAATAGCCGAAATACAAAATAGACCATGCATATGGGACACATCCAGTGAAGAATATAGACTAAGAGACAAAAAAACACAAGAATGGATTGCGGTAGCCGAAGGTATAAATTAATGAAAACTGGACTGGACTTAATCAAAAAGAAAAAGATGACTATAGTGAGTAGAAAAATTAATTATTATAATAATTATATTTAGGGTTTGGATGTTTATGAAATTGCATATCATATTTCTATTTATTCAATTTAATGCTGACTCGGATACAAATTTGATTCATGTTCTACTGAATCAACCAATTCAATTTATATTTTGAGAATTGTATGGTTTTGTATTTTAAATGCATATTTTGGAATTTAAAAAATATTTCAGTACATTTCCAAACTTTTTTTCTAAAAACAATTTAAACAATCGAACTATTTAAACCAACTATAAAATTAATTTCACTGAGTTTATTTTTTTTTTTCAATTGTGTAATACAATAAATACAATTTATCACGTATTAACATAGTTAGTACATAATAAACTAATATGTAATATACACATTAATTTCCTGTGCATATTTTTCAGTGTTTTTAGCTAAAAATGTATATTACATAATTTTTAGTGCATATTTCGATTGCATATTTGGTAATTTTTTAGTGCATCAATGCATATTAAGTATAACAATAATTTTAATTGCATAAATATCCGAATCTTAATTTATATTATATTAATTATTTAATAGAAATTATTTAATTCAAATCTGTAATTGAATATGCATGGATTCATAATTTATAATAACAAATATATTTTAGTGTATATTAAATGTCTTTGCATCTGCTATGGTTAATACAAAACAAATGTGTAGGAACTAATAGGTATATAACCTGCAAAAAATAAAAACGATTAAAATAAATACATACTTTTGCTTTTTCGACATCTTTATTTAAATACAGTTCATTTAGAATTTAAAAAGAAAAATGTAAGTTAGTTTTTAAAATTTAAAACAAGTACTGCTAAACAATATAGGTATTATTGTAGGTATTAGTGTACTACATTGTACTGCCAATCTAATTTTCCTTTTGGGCTATCAAAGTATGTAGCGAAGTAAACTCGGACATCTCTTGCACTAATTGTTGATCCTCTTGCAAGGTTAGTCTCAGAACTTATAGATTCAAATGGACAGTGAAGTGTATCTTCATATTCTACACCATCTCGACGACGAACAAAATTGTGAATAACACATGCTGCTTTTACTATCAATGTAGCAAACTCAGGTTCAACTAAAATAGGCGTATGAAAAACTCTCCACTTGTTCGCTAGAATTCCAAACGTGCATTCCACATAACGTCTAGCTCGAGTGAGTCTCATATTAAATATTTTTTTCTTCAAATCTAAATTTTTCTTGGGTAACGCCTGAGTAAGTTTTCATGCAAGGCAAATGTCTCGTCTCCAACTATCACAAATGGTTGTTCTACACCATCATCATCATTAGGTAACTTTTTTGGCAATGGGATGTCCAGTTGACGATCGTATAACTTTTTACCTAATGGTGACTTTTTGAAAATGTTAGGATCTCCTTCACGTCCATAAGCTCCAACGTCTATGGAAAGGAAACAATAGTTCGAATCTACTAAAGCCATTAAAATTATAGAAAAAAAATGCTTGTAATTAAAGTAGTCTGAACCACTTTTTGCCGGATTAATTATTCGAATATGCTTTCCATCAACTGCTCCAAGGCAGTTAGGAAAATTCGCATTATTATAAAATCCTTCGGCAGTTTGAATCCACACTTCTTTGGTAGGTTCCGGCATTTCTAAAGGCTGTAAGTTTTTCCATATAACACTGAGAGTTTCTTTTATTATTACTCGAACTGTACTTTTTCCAATTAAAAAGTCTAAATGCAATTGGTTAAATGTAGCTCCCGTTGATAAATACCTAAAATGATAATTCTAAATTTTACATTCTATACCAAATTACCAAACCATATAAAAATATTAAAATCATATTAATTAAGATTGTAACAAAAAAATCTAATATATATATTATATAGGTACTCAGTTTGACTTTCAAGTAGAATTTCTTTTTTTTTGTTAAAGAAAGGAGGACTTATGAGGAATTTTGCATTCTATTTTCAAATCTTAAATATTTATAAAAAATGTTTATAATTTTCTACCTCAAAATAATATGTATATGCACATTTTCGTGATTTTGACGGATTTTGGCATAGTTCAAGACAGTTTAAAAAATGTTCGTGGATTTACGTTCAATATTTTTTTGGTTATAATTTAAAAATATTATACATGGGTACTTGAAACTTTTAAAATATATCACCTATTATATTTTATACACACAATGATATTTATTATTTTCAAATGCAATTTTCTAGGCAAAAATTAATAATTTAACCCATCTGTAGTAAAGCTTAATAGAAAAATAAATTACTTTAATCACAATAATATCATAAGAGTTACTTAGTAATATAGGTTGAGAAACAGTCTTCACAAATTTTTTTTTTATTAATTCATAAATTTACAATATAATGCTCTCATAATATCATCTTTAAAATATTATATTTTATAATATAATATCGATTGATTTCAAATTTAACCCCTTCCATTACAGTTATCCATACTTATAAGTTATAATAACCTACACAGCATGAAACGCGGTACCTACCCATTATATGTCACCTTTTTACACTTGTTTAACAAATGTACCTAATGTATAAATTTTTCATATTTAGTTATACACATTATGAGGAAATGGAAGAATCTAAAAGATACTTTTAAAAAAGAGGTTCATAAATATGAGAAATCGGGATCAGCTATGACAAAAAAAGCAAAATATTGTTATTTTGACAATCTGTCATTTTTACAACCTAATTTCGACGGAAGATCGTAAGTATTCAATAGAGATACATTTAATTAATCAGGAAATATCTAAGTGCCGTTTTAATTCAAATTTTGAACTATTATTAACATTCTCAGTTTCCAATTTTTTTATTTTTTTTTTCTGTAAATATCAATAAAATTTTATTTGTTGGGTAAAAAAGCTTGAAAATTTAATACAAGGCTTCTATTATATTGTTACAATGACATTTTAAAATTATTAAAAATCCTTAGTCACAGTTTTATTTAATAACCATTTAAAGTTCATATCTTAACAAAATACGTAAAAATGACGAAAATTTCCAAATTATTTTGTGTGACAAATTCATAAAAAAATTTATTTTTTAATCTAAGATTTGAAAATGTAAGACAAGATTCATCATACATTTGTCAACCTTTATGAAAAAAAAAATGTCTACAAGAAAGTCAAATCAAATTTTTATAAGCGTTTGAAATTCATATTTTTACAAAATTTGATATTCACTCGATTTCTCATGTATAGTTACCCACTTTTTAGAAGTTAAATATCATATTTTTATTTTATTTTATTGGATCTGCTTTCGGAATAAATATTTTTTATTTGGTAAGTGGTAACTATATGCTATCTTTAAGTACGAAATTATATACTGACATTAACTGATTTTTAAGTTTCATAACTATTTAGCGAAAAATAAATTATTCAAAAAACAAATATTTTGAAATTGATGACTATATAAATTTTAAATAGGTAGATTTAAATTAAATTACAAAATATTTACTTTTTCGCTTCCCTATTTATTTTTATAGTGAATAAACATAAATTGCTTGTATAAAATTGAGATTTTACTGAAAACAAATTGTATACGGAATATAAAATAAAAAGGATTTTCTTTTCTTGTCACTAACTAATAATGAAAATTGTATTTAATTGCAGTACCTCAGGAAACATGGCACATGAAAATGATAATTCGGCTGAAGAAATCAATATTGTAGATAACCTCGATTCACCGACGGCTTCAGACCAGGCAATGTCCCCCAGTGTCCCCAATACAGTGCCTAAACAGTCGAAGAAAAAACTATCTGTGTTTCAGGAACACGTGTTGAACGCCATAGAAAAGAGAACTAACAAAGAAGAAGTTTTTGATGGAAATAAACATTTTTTGCTTTTTTTGTTACCGGCGATGAAGAGTATGGATGATCAAAATAATATTAAATTCCGAATAGATGTCATGCAACTCCTACAAAAATATACAACAAACGATAACCAAACTATTCTCAGCCTTACACACCACATCCACTTTATACACCACCTCAGCCTTATCCACCACCTCAGCATTATACACCACATCAGCCTCAATTTCAACCATATAATATCCCTCTTCAGCCTTACACTTACACGCAGCAAAGACTCGAAAACACGGTTAGAAATAGGGTTGCCACCTTTGAAAGAAAGCAGCCCCGGAGACAGGCCGATAAGCATAAGCAAAAAAAAAAAAAAAAAGGTCGTTTAGTCATAAATGTGGTAATTAATGAATTACTTTTCAAATTCTGTGTAGTTTTTTAATATCGATGCACGGTTACGTTACACTGACACAAAAATTAAAAGCAGATATTCGGATTCGATCAAACACACTCGACTGTGATGTTAAAACAGATTCGTAAAATCGTAATCGTAGACTCATAAAATCATAAACCGTAGTTCATAATCTTATTATTCTTGTTATCTTGAATAAATGGTTTTTATACCGGAAACTAATTAAAAAAAAAAGACATAATAATAAAAAATCGTATGTTATCTTATCTTTATCTCCGACCCGGAGAATAATTCACTGAACCCGGAGCCCGTAGATTTGTACGTAAACCCGGATTCTCCGGGTGAAACCCGGAGAGGTGGCAACCCTAGTTAGAAATCATGAATATCCTATGGCCAATCAAAGCACTAATGATATATTATAATAATTTGTATAGATACCTGCTATAGGTACCTATATTATGGTATACCTATTATGTTTTTTTATAATATTACAAGATGTAAAAGTTATTTTGATTTTTCAATATATTTAATGATCCAATAGTTATAAAAATATACATACTTTATAGTAATTGTCAAGCGTTCCTCTGGTGTTGTGTTATTGTGTCATTTTTGAAATTCTCCATTTTTAATAAGTCAGATCTGACGATACTCAACAATTCATCAAATGTCGGCATAGACATCCGATAAAAAGAAAAAAACTTTTCAGGATATACACGCAAATCATCATATATTAAATGAAACTGGCCTTTTCTCTTCCTTTCCTTATTTAATGGATGAACAGAATATTTTCTTTTCTTCTGGATCTTGTTCTCGTCTTCTTCTAGTGCTACAGCAATAGCCACAAGCTCCTCAGTTGTTAATTCACTTGACATGTTTTTCGTGGTGATAAAAAACGGTAACAATGACTGTTTTGAAAATATATATATATATATGAGTATTTTAGCTGGTAAGTACCAATTCTATACCGAAGTAGATATAACTATGACTGAATAATGAACATGTACCGTAAGTGCTCGCACATGCTATGTAAATATTCTTGACGTCTTGAGCTAACCCCACCAGATGGGTGTAAAATTTTTATTATAGAATTATATTAATAACTTCGAAACTAAATTATGTCAAAATTATGGTATAAATATTTGGAAAATCGCGGCGAAAATATTGAGCGAATCCGTCACGCGAATTCGCTGTGTATAGCCAGACAGAACGAAAACCGCCGCGAAATCCGCTCGACGAATTTCGCCTCGAATATCGCCGTGTATAGCCCCAGCCTTAAATAGGAAATTCTAGGGACCGGAGTAAAAGTTCGAGGAATCGACGATTTCAAGTTAAAGAAGTTCGAGATAAACAAGTTCGACTGCATATATATACAGCCTCGAATGCGGCGAACTCGCTTAAGACTGCTCAAGTATATGGGTACTATATGTCTATATATATTATATATATTATATTATGCGCGTGTATCTATATAATATATGTATGTCAATCGCTTATAAACGCTATCGTCCTATCGGCTCTCATCCGTTAAGATTTATGGTAAGCTTAACAACTGCTTAATCCATGTTCCTGTAAATAAGTATAAAAAGCGTCAAAATTTTTTTTGCCTTCTTTTTCTCTCTTATTTTTTTTTTAAATATTTTCTACCGATATAATTTATCGTGGATTTGACACAAACGACCGACCGACACAATAACGTCCGTTGGAAAAATGGTATGCTCAAGTTTAGTCTTTATTTATAATATTGCGTATTGTGAAGCTTAATAATAATAATATGATATTCAGTAAAAACATTATTTTCACTCACTTTTCTCATCAGCCTGTACATAGGCTGTATATTAATTACATTGTGATATATATACTAATATACTGTACAAAGGTTATTGTTTCTAGTTATAAGCACCAAGTCTCAATATCGTAAATACCTACTACTCGTTAATAGAATCAATTACTTTATTTATATTGTGACGACGATTAAAAATCAAACAATATTTACAACTATATGTATCGTCGAGTCCCAATAACTTTAAAAACTTGACAACTCGATTTGTTTTGTTATTACTCTTTGAAATTATATTAGGTTAAATTTGAAGTGGGTATCTTGAATAATACATGTTATAATATTGTAACGATTTTTTAGCTTCCTTAAAATTTGAGTTACCGAGACTCAGCTGTTGTATGTACTTAAGTACAGATCATACAAACATCAAGACTGGCGTCTGGCTATAATGTATGAGTTGTATCGTCTGAAAACGATTTTGAAGTTTATAAGAAAAATCTCTGTTGATACGAAAATTAAATTGAGACAGTGGTCCTTAAATACTAGACACTCGAACCACATTAATATATGGCTCGTAATACAAAATATAATATTAATAAATAATATGAAACTAATTTCGATCATCACTCGCCCATAGTGCGATTTTTTAAACTTGAATCGTGACCCAATTGACTCATCAGACCCCCTGACGGGCTATAATAATTATTGTTGGTTACTTATGACTCCTAGATTACAGAACATATGCAGCATAGAATATGGATGAATAAAGAAGAATGAAGTATTTAGCTTGCCGTTTGGCACTTAAGGGCAACCGTGACACGTATGATGGATGTAACCCAATGTGCCTTATAGATTTTTTTTAACACAATTTATATTAAACGTTTTCGCAACATTCAAATTTGTTTATGTTATAATACAGTTATAATCACAGTACCTACCTTTACAGTATATAAATGATTGATTTTTAGAATTCGTTATATCTTAGGTACCTACCTAGTATCGTAGTAATAGTAGGTATGAGATTATTAAATTGTAGATATTATAATTTTATTTTACGCTCTGATCAGAGAAAATATTAGTATAGAATGTGTAAATGTTTTTAATATTAGGTAGGTGGTTTTGTACGCGCTTCTTTGGTTCTTCATGTTTTTGAAGACGAAGAATTTAAAAGAAATGGTGAAACAGCTCTTAAATTAAACAATTTAATATAATACATATTTATAATTTAAATTAATATAATTCATATTTTACTGAAATATTCATGAAAATCCAATATTATTGAAGGACTAAATTAATAACAAAACGTCAATCCCTAAATGATAATAGACCTTAACAATTTTTTTTTTAAATTTTAGAGTATATATAAAACTTATCGAAACAATAACATTGTTAAAAAAACCCTCACATTATAATCCTGCAGTTGAGTTGTTTATTTTTTACAAGTCTCACCGATAATCCTGAACCTGACGAACGACCACTGTTGTATGAGAAATGAGCATATTATAATATTCCTAACACATATTATATTCAAATACGAATATGTGCGTATTGTACATATAGGCAATAACGATTATGCGGTCGACTCAAAGAGAAAAGTTTAAGCGTGAAAAAAATGAGGGGAAAAAAATTAAAACGAGAAAAGAAAAGAAGAACATAACAAAACTATATGAGAGTGGCAAACTTCCGGAGTGTGCTGGAGTGACAACCTGCGGCCTCGAGTCTGATATACATTTATAATACATTATCACACTTGTTGATCGTACCCGACCAATCGATCGATCCCGGAAGCGAAGAATTTCCCGTGTCCTCGTTTGGGTACCTATATACTGTTAATTAGAAAAAATCTGTATAATATATGATAGGTATATCGGTTGTTGGTTGATAAACTGCAAAATCGATAAAACCCCGCCACATTAACTATTAAGCACGAATAAAGTCGATTACAGGTCGATTATCGTTGATATCTTCGTGTGACACCTGGACGGATATACGTCATTTCGTCGCGGTAATTTTGTCGCACGTCAATTCGTCGCGGTCAATTGGTCGCAAGACAATTGGACGCATACGACATTTCGTCGCGTGTAATATCGACGCATGCTACATTTGGTCGCGCGTCATTTTATCGCATATAGGTATATTCTAAATAATAATAATAATTTTACATATCAGTCATTTTAGCTTATTGTTATATCTATATATATAAAAATGGAGACAAAAAATTCGAAATTGCATCAGTTGAGAACGGCTGGGCCGATTTTGCTCAAATCTTTTTTAAATGATAGAGAATGTCGGAGAGCGAGTTTTTACGAAAGAAAATTTTTAAAATGTCAACCGAATAATTAGAAAAACTGCAAAAACTATTTATTGATGTCTGGGATTTGAACTCGATACCGTTGTCTTTATTTACTCTATGGTGTATTATATTATATTGGTTGCTATTGGTTAATCGGGCATGTTTGTTGATTTGTATTATTATTTTTTGTCAATATATCTTATATATGAATGAATGATTGTGTGTAGATTAGATCTATGGGAAGAAGATACGCTAATTTAAATAGGGTTAAATTTGGTTTTTTTTATTCATCGGATTTTAGTACGGTTAGGTTAGGTTAGGATTTATAGGTAGGTGGAATTAAGTAAAAACGTTAAACTTGGTATAACTTTGGTACTTTTTGAGTTAAATCATACACTTACGTACAAACAGCACGGGGTCCACGATCTACCACAGGTAGATTGCCTACCTGATAATATACTGCTGCGAAACAGAATTTTTATTCCGGGCAACAGAAAAGTTAAGATAAATCTATAACATCATACACCGAATATTAAATAACGCATTGAACAATGTTTGAGTCATATAGAGTTGGTACATTTAACGGGAAACGAAGTGCAGGGGATCAGCTAGTATATTGGTATTTTTTCACCTCATGAATTAAAAGATCATGCCCTCGTTGACTTTTTATAAATTGTAAAGGCATAATTTTTATATTTTGTAAAATATATAGTAATTGTTATATTGCGTGGACCAAGCAAGACGTATATATACGTAGACGTGTATAGGTGGTACTGTATAACACTATAATCGGTAGAGAGTAGAGACTCGTGATGACTGATGAGTAGGTACACTGTAATAATTCGAATATTCGATAAAGACTCACGTAAAAACCAAATAATGAATTACCTACTGAAATAAAAATAAA